CACATAATGCACGCGCTGTCACGCCGGGTGGTGGAGCACTTGCAGGAAGATCGAAGAAAGACTGACGAAGGAGGAACACAGCCGTGCTATAAAATGCACGCGCTGACACGCCAACTGGCGGAGCATGTGCAGGACGAAAGAGCGGTAACGGAGCACGGAGAGAAAGCCGCCTTGAAACGGCATGCACGCGCTGTCACGCCGGCTGGCGGAGCACGTGCAGGCGGGACGAGGAAAGACAGACAGGAGGCAGAACGACATATGGAAGAAACCGGAACTCTCTTGAGCCGTCTCGGGTCCTGCTGGGACGTGCCCAGACCGTTTTCGTGTTGTCTCCTCACGCTGTGATCGCATACCAGCCATGTTGGGGAATCTTGGGGCCTAGGAATCTTTCGAAGTCTCTCGGAACCCAGTTGGAGCCTCTTCGGAGTTTCCTGGAGGCTTCCCGGAGTCCTCCTGGGGTCTCTTGGAGGCCTCTTTGTATTTTCTTTTGGGCCTCCCAGGGGCCTCTTTCGGCCTGCCCTGTTGGGCACCTATAGGCGGCCTCGGGGGTCATTTTTGGGCAGAGGGTTCCAAATAGCAGCTCGTATTACCCCTCCATCCTGGGGTCCTCTTGGGCCGTCTTCGGGTTTTCTTGGTCCATCTTGGGGCCCTCTTGAGCGGTCTAGGGGCACTCTCGAGAGCCTCATGGGCAGTCTGTGGGCGTTTTTGGAGACCTCTGGGGTTGTCTTTGATTGTGTTAAAACTAAAAAGCGAATATACTAAAAAGTGCAAGTTTTCCTGAGGGGATGGAGCACTCTTGCGGGTCCTCTTGGATTGGTCTTGGATCGTCGTGGACGCCTCCCCTCTAGAGCCGCCTTGACGGCGGTCTGGGGAACCTCTTGATCCGTCTGGGAGCGTTGGAAGCCCGAAATCCGTCAAACAACTAACAGAAAATATCTAAATTTGGCCTCTCGGAGCACTCGTCGGGCTGCTGTTTGAACCTTCTTGGGCCGTCTGGAACCTCTGGAAGCCGTCTTCAGGGCAGCTCAGGGCAATCTTGGTCCGTCGGGACGGCTGTCTGATCGGCCTGGGACCTGTTTGGCGGCCCCCAACAGCGGGCCCTGGCCCCGAAGAGAGAGGTGCATAGGCAGGAAAAGTAAGCGCCGACGCTGCCGCCGCCAGGCGCTGTGAAACTATGAAGCCACCCGGCGTCGCCAGATCCACGGGCAGGTGGTCTCTAAAAATCTGTTCGTGCAAGCCCTGCTCGCCAAATTTTCAGGCCCCGGGACTGCTCCCCAGGCCCCAGCGAGAAGGGTCGCTACCGCTCCACCCATTGACAGAAACAAAGAAAACCGGTGCCAATTAGGCGGCGTCCCAGGAACGGTCTCAGGTTTTTGGACCGGAGGGCGCATGTAGACGTACATAACGGTTTCTGGGGAAGCCTCTCAGAAGCCCGTTGGGGCCCTCTTGGGGGTCTCCTGGGGGCTTCCTGGGAACCTCGGGGGGCCTCTTGGAAGCCTCTTGGGGAGGCCTCTGGAGGCCCTTGGGGGCCTGCCGCGGGCGTCTTGGGGGCCTCTTTGGGCCTCTTTGGGAGTCTCTTAGGGGCCTCTTGGGGGCTTCTTGAAGCGGGGAGGCTGGAAGGTTCAGTTGGGTGTCCCGTCTTGGGCCCCTCTTGGGGCCCTTCGGGGACGCGTTTGGGCCGTCCTGGGCGCCTCTTGGACTGTCCGGGGCCCCTCTGGGGCCGTCTTGGGGCTCTCTTGTGGGCTTCGTGGGCTGTCTTGGGGCGGTCTATGGAGAGTCGGAGGTCGTAAAGCACGGTACGAAGGCCAAAAAATTCAATATGGTAAAATGTACGGAACGGGGCTATTTTTGCTTCCCGGGGCCGTCTGGGGGGATCTCTTGGAGGGGTCTTCGAGCGTCTTGGAGGCGTCTGGGGCGGTCTGGGGCGGTTCGAGACGCCTCTTGAGCCGCCGGAGACCGCTGGAGGTTGTCTTCAGGGTGGCTGTGGGCGGCCTGGGGCCGCCTGGACGGCCGTCTGGGCGCTCCGGAGGCCGACCTGGGGCCCGCCGGGGAGCGGGCTGGGCCCGACGTCCCCCCATTTGCGGTCGGGGCTGCGGCCCCGGGGCCCCCGGGCCCGGCGCGGCGTTATATATGATCCAGGGTCGAGGGCCCACGGGCCCCCCCCCCCCCAGATGGTATGGTCCCAGGATTCCTCGGGCCCCCCCCCCCAGATGGTATGGTCCCAGAGACGACGACGACGACGACGACGACGACGACGACGACGACGGCGACGACGGCGACGACGACGACGACGACGACGACGACGACGACAACGACGGCTGCGGCGGCGACGACGCCGGCGGCGGCGGCGGCGACGACGACGATGACGACGATGACGACGATGACGACGGCGACGACGACGATGACGACGACGATGACGACGACGACGACCACGATGACGACGACGACGAGGACGACGAGGATGACGAGGACGACGAGGACGACGAGGACAACGAGGACGACGAGGACGACGACGACGACGACGACGACGACGACGACCTCTGAACCACCGCAGCACCACACCACATCCACAGGGGGGGGGGGAGGGGGGCACCGCAGTGCAACACCACGCCACGCCCACCTCTGAACCACCGCAGCACCACACCACATCCACAGGGGGGGAGGGGGAACCGCAGCGCAGCACCACGCCACGCCCACAGGGTGGGGCGGGGGGGACCATCGCGCGGGGGGGGGGGGCCAACGGCATCAGCATTGGGGGGGGGGGGGCCCAAACCCTGGACCATATATGTAGATTAGCCCGTGGCGGGTTGGCGACTCGGCGCCTCAAAGGGCGACGCTCGAGATTTGAGCCTGCGCCCGAGATGCACACCCACGCATCTCTTTCCCGTGCGTAACTGTTGGACGGGGGGCTGCCCTTCGCGTGAACAAGCAGAGATGACAAGGGTGTCTTACATGCGCCACCGAGTGACGATTGGAGGGAACGGTGGCCTGCCTTCCCGCCGCCCCACTCCCCACCACCAAATAAGGCCCCAATCAGCCGAGAACCAGCTACTCGACAACCCGCCGCGCCGCTCGGGTCGCCGGCTCTGGTTGTAGGGCAAAGGGGAAGCGCCCCAGGGTAGCGCCCATAGCACACGCTGCCGGGATTCACTCATGAATCACGGGCCGTCGGGGATTTGAGAGGCTGGATGGAAGAGAGAGAGAGAGAGAGGGAGTGGGGGAAAGGGGGCCTGGATGGGGGCCCAGCCCAAGAGGAGGGGGAGAGGCAGGCGCCGGAGGAGGGACGGGTCACTAGGAGGGAGGGCAAAAGACGCCTCTTCGACCGAAGCGCCACGAGCGAATCCTCGCACCTGGCCCACGTCCATGTGCCAACGTACCAGGAAGGGGAAGAAGGAAAGGGACGAGAAGGCGGGGTTCAGGCAGCCGAGGAGTAGGATACTGCAGGGGAACGGACGCGGCGGGCGGCAGAGGAGGGAGGAGGAGGAGGAGGAAGAGGTTGATGAGGAGGAGGAAGAGGAGGGGGAGGAGGAGGAGGAGGATGAGGATGAGGAGGAGGAGGAGGAGGAGGAGGAGGAGGAGGAGGAGGAGGAGGGAGGAGGAGGAAGGAGGACTGAAGAGGAGGAAGGTAAGAGGAGGGGGAGGAAGACGAAGGATGAGGGGGGAGGAGGAAGGAGGGAGGAGGAGAAGATGCGTAGAAATGAGGAGGAAAAGGAAGAGGATGAGGAGGAGGAGGAAGGGGGGGAAGGATGATGAAAGATGCGATAGGACGGCGGAGAAAACCGCTGGGATGCGATGCGACCACCGTTGCGGACAGCGTTCGGGCCTAGAGCAGACCAGGTGGGTGAGGCCATGGCCTCTAGGATCTGAGGTGTCTGGATTCATGCAATGCGAGACATGTAAAAAGTTAGGAGGAGAGGGGGAGGAGGGGGAAAAGAAAGTCCTTGGTGTACGTCTCGACGTTCGCAGAGATTTTACGTCATTCGCAAAGATTTTGAGTTCGCAGAGAAAACCGCTGGGAGGAGGAAGCGGAAATCAGAGCGAGGCTTCCTCAATTGTGTCGCGACTTTCCTCCCCCTCGGCCAGTCCCCGCTGACTTCGTCAGGCCACCACTCCATTGGAAGCGTGCTGATGAGATTATGCTGCGGGGGTTATTCCAGATTGGTCCGACTACCGCCAGGTGGGATCTTCAATACGGTTGAAAGAAATTTGCGGCGCCGTGGGACCCCTTCATTGTGACGGGTATGGCCATGGACTGCGTGCGTGTTACACTGTGCAGGTCGCAACATGCCCACAATTAAGCCGTAACCACGACGGTATGCTTTCTCTCTCTCTCTCTCTATGTCTTGCTTTCTTTCTCTCTCTCTCTCTCTCTCTCTCTGTAAGTGAATTTCGAGGGGAGTTGCAGAACTGAGAGTGACTTGCAGCTGCACTTGCTCGTGAAGGGCTTCGGGGGGATGGAAATGCGAAGGTCATGACCCAACCCTTGCTGGTTGCCCCGTCCTCGCGGCAGAACCGCCATGTCAAGCCAGGGGCCCACGAGGGTCTGGCCGCCCCTGTCAAGGGAGTAGCGAGTCTTGTGCAATGGGGGAAGGTCTATCCTTCTCCTACCCTTCATCTCCTTCCATTTTCTGCCCTCCAGAGTCCATCCACTTTCAGCGATAGAACCTCGAGCCCGTCCACTTCCGGAGTGGGCCTGCGCCGTCGGCTCGAGGTACGGCGTCCCTTCGACTGCTGCTGCCTCTGCCCTGCCTTGTTCTTCACCCTGCTGTCTTCTCGCCCTCTCCTCGCCGTCATGCGCTTCGACCGCTCTTGCGCCTCGACCGACCGACCGAGGAGGAGGACGAGGAGGAGGAGGAGGACGAGGAGGAGGAGGAGGAGGAGGAGGAGGGAGGAGGAGGAGGAGGAGGAGGAGGGAGGAAGAGGAGGGGAAGGAGGAGGAGGACGACATGCTCGCGGAGCAGTCAGCGTTGGCGAGGCAAGCCCCCAACCCCTGGTGCCACCAACAACCGCACCTCTCGCTCCATCGCGCGCACCTCCCGGCCGATCCGGACCTGCGTTTGGGGGGGAAAACGGGTGGGTGGTGGGGGGGGGGGGCAGATCGAGGATTTGGTCGGGCGGCCGTCGAAAGTCGGGGGGGCAAGATCGAAGGGGCAAGATCGAGGGTCGGGGGGGCAAGGCCGAGGAGAAATTCGGGGGGAGTGCAAGAGCCTGGACTACCGATGGACTGACTCTTTCAATCCGCGGGCCCAGGATGTCCTATGGCCAGGGTTGGGCCCTGGATATTTTTTGACGTTCCCAGGGCCCGAGAACTGCTCCTGGAGGCTCATGAATGTTGCAGGAAGACATGGTGACGGACTGTTATAACCACGCAACAAGCATCAGCAACCGTGCCGTCAACAATAAGTGGACACCCTATACACGCATGCCCCAGGCGAGGTGGCAGGACGTGTTGTGTGTGTGTGTGTGTGTGTGTGTATGCGCGTGTGTGTGTGTGATTGTGCTTGTTTGTTTGTGTTTGATTGGTTGTTTGTTCTCTTCTTGGGGGAAGGGAGAAAAAAGGAAGGCTGAGGGGACGAATGGCGGCCAGGAAACACAAGACGTCACACGAGCGCGAGCAGATGCAGCGAGCTGGCGATCAACTTGGCATGCCAGGGATATGCATGTCTGGTCGAAGTAGCATGACTGTCTGGCGAACGTGGCCTAAACGCGGGCCCCGAATCCCGGCTGGCAGTCAGAGAAAGGATGGGACGGGAGGGAGGGGGAGGAGACTCGTGCCACTTCAGTCGAGGTTCGTGATCATGTCCCCGGCAACAGATATGTCCACAGACTCGGGCAGGAAAACTCGCTGGCCCAACGGGCCAGGCCGTGCTAAAGGCCAGTAGCGTTTTAAAATCTCCGAGATTCAGGTTTTGTTGTTTCCAGTTCGCGCGCGATTGGCGGCACCTTGGAGGTCCTAGCTCGAAAAATACCCCAGGTGGTCCCCAGGCGGCGGCCGGGGTCACTGATGCTTGACTTCCCCGGGTGGGGCAGTGTTCAGGGCCCCCATGAGCGCTCCGAGGAACCCCAAACGAGCTCCAAGAGATCATTTCAGTCAGGACCCTTCTCAAGACGGGGATCTCGCAAGCCACATCGTTGAACTGTGTGGTCATACCTTCTCGTATTCGCGATCCTGCGATAAGACTGCGAGGCAGGTCTTGTTAAAATTGGATACCTCGCCTGCGTGGTACTTAGGGTGCTGAGCAAGGGGGCGCTCCTTGTAGAGAAACGGAGGTCATGGGCAAGTCTGAGGAGGGGGCTTGGGGTGAGAGGCTGTGTTGCAGCACCGCTGACGCACATTGGGTTCACTCTGGTACTCCCCCTCCCCTTCCTCCTCCTCCTCCTCCCCCTCCTCCCCCCTCCTCCTCCCTCCTCCACCGTAGCCATTTTGGCTCAAGCCGTTCTGGCCCAGGTTCTTTGGGCTTGCAAGTGCCGTCTTCAGAGCGGTAATCGCACTTGCGGGTCATTCTGGCTCGTTACGACTCAGTTTGCGGGATCTCAACCCGCAGTGTGCAGTGAGCTCCTGGAGGAGCGTTCATGGTGGACTCAGATGTCCTTCCAGGCCCAAGGGAGCCTAAGTGGGGATGTCACAGCTGCGGCCGCAACGCGAACTTCGCGAGCCGCATCAGGTGCCAGTGCGGGCAAGCAGCGCCGCGCAGCATCATCGACAAGGCGAAGAAGCGGGCTGAGGAGCATAAGCAGAAGTCGTCATCATGTGGTGGCGATGCGGTGCAGCGTCCTCTGCGTGGTGCTTGGGCTCGCGGTCCTCCTGTGCTTGACAAAGGGGCCACCAAGCAGATCAGCCAGCTTCAGAAGCAGATGGATCAGTTCGTCAAGCATTTCGGAGCCGCAGGTGGCGGTCAACGTCAGCAGCCTGGCGCAGCAACCGCCAGTGGTGACAGCAACGTGGACTCGCCCGCTGATGATGCAGGTCGGCAGCTGCTGGCGCGTGTCAAATCGCTCGAGACCACTCTCAACTCAGTGCGGAATGATGATGCTTTCCCGTCCGCAGTCAAAGAGGCGCTGGAGAGGGAGCTCAAGGCTGCCAGGGATCAACTCAACAGCCAGAAGCCGTCTCTCTCACGCCACGCGGCGCTGGGGCACAAGTTGCAGCGGACCCAGCAGAAGCTTGATAAGCAGGATGAGGACATCAAGGCGCAAGAGGCCCTCATCAAGGCAGCACAGGAGGGGCTGGAGGCCACGCAGGCCAAGGCTCGTCAGTTGCGCGTTGAGGTGGGGACCACGAAGGTGGAGCTGCAGACGACCATGTCGAAAGTGGTTCCCCCAGTTGCTCCGTCTTTCGAGCTCAAGGCCGAGACGGTGCAGAGCGACCCCGAGGTGCAGCAGCTCGCGTCATCGGCCGCTTTCGGCAAGCACAAGGCACTCCTGCAGGCTCAGTTTCAGGCAGAGGCTGCACAATCTCAACCTCCTCCCCTTCCTGATTCTGCGGGCCACGCCCAGGAGTGCACGGGGGGAGGAGGCGGTGATGGGGATGAGCATGCCAACATCCCCGTTCCAAAAGATATGGATTTGGATGATTTGGATGCAGAAGACGCCGGGAAGTTGTTTATGGCCGCTCATGCCGAGGGACCAGATAACAAGCGTGTCTTTGAACACATGGTCAAAACTCTGGGGATCAAGGCCAAGAAACAAAAGTGTGGGTGACACTATGTTCCAGCGCCCTGCTCCCAAGTGTTGTGGGATCCCACCCTCGCGTTCAGGCACCCCCGTTCCACCTCTGAAAGGGGCGCCGCATAGGTCGAGTACTGACAGTCAGTACCAGGTAGAGAGTTTCAATGGTTCGTGCTGGACTACTCCCAAACGACGTCTTCGAGAGAGTTCAGCAGTGCTTCTTTGTGGGCAGGGGGTGGACACCAGCGCTGATTTTGTTGGCAGGGCTACTGCCAAGGCACGCAGTCTTGGATGGCATGCACTGTTCGCGCCCAGCTATTACAACCCTGACACAGGTAAGGAGTCTGCAGGTGTTGCTGTTTTCGGGCGTTTGGACATTGGCCTCAGGTGGCCACCAGAAGGAGATGCGCCCATTGCCCCGCATAGGCTCATGAAGGTCCTCGTGGATTTCCCTGGGTGGCCTACCATATCGTTGTTTTCGGTGTATTACAAGTCGGCTGAAGGACCCAGTGAGTTCAACCTTGATATGATGGCCAAGTTGGGTCGAGCTGCAAGTGATCCAGCTCATTCGGTTATCGCGGGAGACTGGAATATGACCCCCGATGTCGTAGAGAGCTCAGGTTTCCCACGTAAGCTGGGCATGCTCCTCATGGCCCCATACAGCGCCCACTAGCAGAAGCCCTACCTCCAGCTCCATTATTGATTGCTTCGCTTTGGGTGCTGGTGTGGCTAGGCTGATCTCGGGAGTTCAAGCCGACATGCAGTGGGATATCAAGCCACATCGCGCAGTGCTGTTACAGGTTCGGCCTGATGCTCTTCAGGTCAAGCAGCTGATTTATCGCAGTCACCTCAAGCTGCCGCTTGGGTTACCTTTCGGCCCAGTGCCAGAGCCAGGGTGCTGGGAGGGTGCTCTGCATCAGGCAGCATATGCCGTTGCTCTTGCACGTCATAGTCCTGCTGGCGAGGCTTGGGCTAGCCTGAATCCTGCCTGGACCACCTTCGTGGGCTGCGCCGAGTTGGAGCTAGTTCGTTTCCTGGGCACCGAGGCCAAGATTTTGGGAATGGGGGGGCAATCGGTAAAAGCGTCCTGGGCTCCTGTGTTCTATCGTCCCAAGCATGCGGATGACCAGCTCCAAGTCTGCTCAGGATGGCGATGGCTTCATCACGCGCTTGCCGAGTTTGTGCAGATCACCGCCAGCGCCGCAGAGGGCGAGCCCCAGATCTTGACCCTCCAGGTTTCGTTGCAGTACTCCTGTCCTGGGGAAGGCCTCACCATCAGACTGGATGCGTCTTTAAAGGAAATGAGAGCCCTAGCGGCAGAGTGGAGTTTAGGCCATCCCCATTTGCAGGAGTGGCGCGATAGAGCTGAGTATTTCCTGGATACTACTCAGGAGGACCTCTCAGATGCCAATGGCAAAGGGGAGAAGCTCCTCCAACAGTTTTGGGACGAGTGGCAACAGAAGGCTTTAGCAGGCTCCGCAAGGCTCATGCACAGGTTCACCAAGCTCCAAAAAAGTGGCAGCCCACGGTTACTCAAGTGGCCCCAGGGATCTGCTCGTCGGACCCCGTCAAGCTCCTAGAGGCTGAAGCTGCTCACCTTGGGGGCTACTGGAAGGCACAGATCAGACCCCCAGAGGCGTGGATACCTGACAGGAGCTGTTTCCCTCGAGCTGGGCCTGATCAAATTCGGGCGGCATCGAGGCCTTTCAGTGTTTACACGTCCCAGTCGCCTGACGGGCTGCACGCGCGCCACTTCAGCCTCCTCAGCGATGCTGGTCTGGAGGTGATGTCACTCCTGTTCGAGGCGGTCGAGCGCCTTGGGTTGTTCCCGATGCAGCTGCTGTGGGTGCTGCTGCCGCTTCTCGAGAAGCCGAAAGGCGGTCTTCGACCCATATTGCTCCTTGCTGCACCAGTTCGTATCTGGGAAAGGTTGAGGCGCCCTGAAGTTGATGGTTTCCTGGTTCGGGCCCATAGAGCCTACTGGTCCTTCGGGGAGGGGGGGGGGGGGGGGGGGGCAGTCGTCTGAAGCAGCGGTGTGGCAGCAGAGCATGTTGGCAGAAGAAGCCCAGTCCCAAGGCAGGGTCGCTGCAGGCTTTATCCGGGGTGGAACGAAATACGATGAATCGTTTAGGCTATCCTGGCTCCGTGTGCGTGCTGAGCACTGGGGGATCCCGCGGGCACTCGCCAAGACCCTGTATAATATCTGGAGGAGCCCGAAGATCTTGAGGTTGGGGGCCTATCACGGCCCTCCCCCCATCTTCGCGGAATCAGGATTGCCAGCTGGTGTTATATACAATGACGTTTCCGTTGAGGTTTACACGTTGTTCGAGTTTGATCAGTGTGCGATTCGGAACCCACAAGTTTCCCTGGGCTCGTACATTGATGATGACACGAACCTCACGTTTGGTGAAAAAGAAAAAACCATCCAGGACATTGTTAGGGCCGCAGATGATACGAAGTATATCTTCCAACACCGACTGGGAGTGCAACTAGCTGCTGACAAGGCATCGACGTTTGCATCTTCTCAGCGAGTGGCTGCTCGTTTGGCCAAGAAGCCTGCCCGCTACTGCCCGTCGCTCGCCTGCAACTCGGCCATCTCGCTGGGCTGCGACTTAGCACCAGGACAACGTCGGGCACGTGCAGGAGGGCGCACAAAAAGGAAGGCTCGGTTCAAAGATATGAGGACCCGCCATGGTTTTATTCGTTATTTTTCGGAGCAACTGCCCAGGGACCGATCTCGCACGAGCAAGATTTACATATGTGGGGTCAGACCTGCCGCGGGTTATGGGCCCATGGTCCTGGGAATGCCCGATCAAGAACTCAATCAGCTCAAGAGCGTTCTGCTCTCAGGTCTTTCGCCAGCGCACAGAGGTGCGTCGCTCGCGGCAAAAGTTTGTATTCACGGAGATCCTGCATGGCTCCAGGCGACGGCGCCCGCCAGGCAATGGTCGACCAGTTTGCGGAGAAGTCTGACGACGCCTTCCACCAGCCCCTTCTCGTTCAGGGATCACATCAGGATCTGGAGGAACCTCGAGGCTCAGGAGTTACGTCTGGGACCATCTGAGTGGAGGAACGCTCGGGGACCAGGTCATCGCATGCTTCTGAGTTTAGATCGCATAGGCTGGAAGGCACTTAGCTTTAGTAGGTGGCAAGATGATAGGGGCAATGTTGTGGATGTATTGTATCACAGCCCAGCCATGATTGCCAGCCTTTTGCAGTCAGGAGTTCAGAGATCCCATGAGAGGCGATTGGCGGCGAGTCTCCCCTCGTTCGATGGTGTGCGTGCGTGCGTGGACCCGCTCCGCTCCCTCCTCCGTTCGAAGCGAACCCCGCCGCGAGCAAAGCATTGGATCTGCTCCTGTTTTTCAAATGGCTGCTGGACGGCAGACCGTTTGCAAGAGTCAGGTTATATTTCAGATGGACGTTGTCCCAAGCGCGGCCAACCTGACTCGATTTTCCACCGCCAGTGGTTTTGTGATGACCCGGAGGTCTCAACGGCCCGCGGTGAAGCTGTTTAACCTCATCTGATCGAGGCTGCCCGTAATTGCCAGCCCTCTGAACGACTGTTTTGGTCTCGATTGATAATGGCTCAGCCCGATGCGGACTCCTTTCCCCCCTCGGTGGCCTCGGACCCCCTCCTCCAGGATGCGCATGGGCAGCCATTGTCTCTCGAAAAGTTTGTTGAACGGAGTGAGGGCTGCGACCTAGTGGTCGACGGCTCTGCTACCCAGTACCCTATTCTTAGCTCAGCCGTGCTGCTTTCGCGGGAGTCTATGTGGAACCAAGGGACGTTTACCAGGTTCGGACCCGCTTCATGGCCACCGTGTGGCCAGTGTTGCACCAGACGCCCCAGGCTGCCGAAAATTTGGGCCTGGCCACTGCGTGTGCGTTTAGTTCGGGCATGAGTTCCCCTCTCAGTGATTGTAAAAGGGGCCGTGCGTTTGCATAATCTCTCGGACGAGGCGCAGCTGTGCCCGCGGGAAATGTTTGCTGGTTTTCGACGTGCTGCGCAGCAATCGCCTGGATATGATGCCCTGGGGGAGGCCCAACATGCGCCCGCCCATCGGTCGGATGCGATTATACAGGCCCTCCCCCCAGACCAGAAGCGAATAGCTTTAGCCAACCAGGATGCTGACCGCCTGGCTAAGTACGCCCTCTCGCTTCATCCTCAGCCTGCATCTGCTGATCTGGAGATGCTGGATAGGCAGGTGCAGGCCCTTCGAGCGTGTGCGCTAATGTTCGGGAAGGTGCTCTCTCTCTTTTTCCTAAGCTGCACTTTGAGAGACCCCCGAAAGAGAGGAGGTTGCCTAGAGTCCCTCCCCCGCCCGACTGGCATGATTGGGATGAGCTCAGTGACGATCGACCCGCTTTCAGATGCAAAAAATGTTTCAGGATTTCGTTCGAGGGCGAGTCCCGCCCGATGAATGGTTGTGCGGGCTTGTCCACAGCACTGAGACGCCTCCAGGGTGCTGAGACCGAGCGGCAACATAAGCTGGGTTTTGTCATCCTGCACAAGACCCAGAGGCCGCTGTTTTTCTGTTTTGCCTGCGGTGCTTACACCAGCAGGCGATGCCATTTGCTAGGTCAGACCTGTGTCAAGAAGCTGAACACTGCTGGTGAATAGGTGCCCACACGACTGCAGGCTGGCCTCCACCCTCACTACAGAAAGAATCCTGAGGGTGATGACTCGCTGGCGCCTGCTAGAGCGCCGTCGAAGTGGGTGTTTCTTGCCCCTCCTGGCCCGCTCGCTGCGGGGTCGTCTCGCTTGGTCGATTCCGACCGCTTGCGAGCGCTCGCAGCCCGTACTCAGGCCAAGGAGGAGGCATCCAGGCGCTAGCTGCTGCCTGAAGCTGACGTTCTGCCGCAAGGTCGTCCCGTCCTCCTCCCTCCTTCTTCTCCTCCCACGACCCGTCTCTCCCCTGAGTCCCCGCCCCGTTGCTGGCCTGGCCCCCGCCCCCCCCGTGGCCTCGAGGGGCACCTGCGGCTCGGCGCGCGGCGGCGCCTGCATCTGCCGGGCGAGCGCCTGCAACAACTCCGCGTCCACGGCCCGCTCCTGGTACCGAGGAGGCCGTCGTCGTCGTCGTCGTCGTCGTCGTCGTCGTCGTCGTCGTCGTCGTCGTCGTCGTCGTTGTCATCGTCGTCGTCGTCGTCGTCGACATCGTCGTCGTCGTCATCGTCGTTGTCGTCGTCGTCGTCCTCGTCGTCGTCATCTTCGTCGTCGCCGTCGACGTTGTCGACGTCGTCGTTCTCGTCCATGACTGTCGGCCGCCAAGGTCTTGTTCAGTTGTTCTGTCGCTTTTGGCCACTGCTGTAGGGTTCTCCTGGTCCTGGCTGGACACGGCTCGGAAAACTGAACTGGAGATGGACCCTGGGCCCTGGGCCCTGGGAGGGGTCTCGGGGCTGGTCTGGTGCGGAGCTTTGACCGTCAACTAGGATCCAGGAGCGAAGGTCGAACATTGCGAGGTCTTTCGACGCGTTTGATGCTTGGAGGCCTCCGGGGACCTCGGCGTGCCTTCGGGCACTTCTGGAGACCTCTAGAGACTCCCACAAACCGCCAAGGCCCGAGTCGGTGGCGGTCCTCGTCGTCTTCGTCGTCGTCATCATCGTTCTCCTCGTCCTACTCCTCCTCTCCCTCTGCCTCTACGCCATGCACTATCAGGCACAGGCGGGATACCCAGCGGAACGCGCACGCTTCCGGCGCTCGCTCGTTCGTTCGCCCTCCGCCCCCTCCTCCTTACACCTCCTCCTCCTCTTCCTCCTCTTCCTCCTCCTCCTCCTCCTCCTCCTCATTGTCATCATCCCGCGAGCGCGCGCTGCTCCTTGCGCGGGCGGCGGCGTCGTCTTCTCAGATGCAGACGACACTGGACAAAATCATGGCGGCTGTCGTCTTCTGCATCTGGCGCTGAGCGTTCTCGTGGAGTGGAGGGCCTGGGATGAAATCCAGATGGGCGCTTGCACCTACAAAATGAAACCTTCGTGTGGTTGTGTGGTTGTCTGGATGAAGTTCGTGTCGTGTCGTGGCCTGCATATATGCAGCGTTTGGCTTCAGCTACGACGTCGCTTCTCCGCCATGGTGAGATACAGCTGATGTGTCTCAGAAGCCAGTCTTTCCAATGCAAGTTCCACCACTGCAGATGGCACGCTTGATTTGGTTGTGCCTTGACGGTTCCACGCGCAACGCATTTGAGAATGGCAGGCGGACACGAATACTTCACGTTTTCTTTGGCGTTTCGCCCTCTGCCGCAATCCCCCCGTTCCTCATTGGCCAGATCGCTGGTTGGTTGACTCGTTCGTTGGTTGGTTGGCGGATTGATTGTTCAGTCGGCTCGTTTCTCTTGGTGGCTGGCTGGTGGGATGGTTGGCTGATTCTCTGGGCCACCGAGCACACACTGGCGCTCGACAGGTGAACGAGCACACGACTGGCGCCCAACACTTGAAAGATCGCACAGCTGGCGCCTGACAGGTTAACGAGCAAGCGAATTGCGACCGACAGGTGAATCCTGATGTCGTAGGAAATGTGTGCGAAAAATTGCGGCAATCGGATTTCGGAAGGGGGGGAGGCCTGAGTGGGGCCCGCAGCGGACTCCAGAATCCAGTCACCATATGTTTGCAGAGCAACTGTGTCCCAGATTGGCGACATGGGGGGCTGGGGGCCTGGATGCAGAAAGGGCGACTCTGATCAAGGTGCTGAAGACGGCGTGGGCGAAGTCGGGGGACGGGTGCGCGTGAATCCTAGACTAGTGATGAATCAAATGTCTGCCGTTTGCAAGTAGCGATGCGCACAGGTTGCAGGCCTTTGCCCTATCCCCCCTTTCGTCCCGAGACGCGGGCCCTCCCTCTAAAACATTGCGAGTAGATCGGCGATGGGCCCCGATGGCGAAACCGGGCGTTCCTGGCCGGGGTGGCAGAGTCGGGTACCTACTGGCAATCAATGGGACATTGGGGGTCGACGCGTTCCCCCCTAAGGCTATCCCCGCATAACGCTGCCCCTGACTTCCTCCAAAGACGACGCCGCTCACCGACGCACCCGCCGACGCGCGGAACCGCCGCCGAAGAGCGGGCGCCGCGGCCTCCCCTGCCAACAGCCCCTGCAGCGTCGCTGGCCCGGCGCCCCACGCAGCGGGCATGGGGGCGCCCGCCGCGCCCTGGGCCTCGCGGCCGCGGGCGGCGACGGCGGCGGCGGCGGGCAGCGGGAGGGAAGGCTCCCTTCCCTCTCTCCTCGTCCTCGTCCTCGTTGTCCTCCTCCTCCTCCTCCTCCTCCTCCTCCTCCTCCTCCTCTTCCTCCTCCTCCTCCTCCTCCTCTTCCTCCTCCTCCTCCTCCTCCTCCTCCTCCTCCTCCTCCTCCTCCTCCTCCTCCCCTACTCCTCCTCCTCCGAGCGGCGAGCGCGTCTGTCCGCACGCCCGAACACTTTGATCGGGGGCGGGCGCAGCCCCCGAACCCTGGAACCAGCGCACCGTGGCGCGCCCGCCCGGGCCAGCGAAGTCCCGCGCACGGGACCGCCGCGGGACCGAGCGCCGCGTCCTGCGGTCCCACCGCCAGGCGCCTTCCAGTCTCCAGTGCGCCGCCTCGGCGCAGACGCCGTCCGCGGCCCCGCCTGGCGCGCGCTTGGCCCCGCGGCGTTCGCTTGCCCACCAGCGCCGCGCCGCCCGCGCAGCCGGCCTCAGCCCTGTGCCCGGGGCCCGCCCTCGACAGCGCGTGCCCTCCCCGCTCCCGCGGCCCAGCGCGGCGCCCGCCCGCGGCCCTGCCCCAGTGGCTGGCGCATGGCTTGGGGGTCCCGAAACGGTGCGGTGACTGACCGTGCCGTGACCTGAGACCTCACCGCACGGTCCGTCACCGCACGGTCTTGGGACTCTGGAGGCCCGCATCGCCCGAGACATCCTCGGAGAAGGACTCGAGTCCCAAAACCGTGCGGTGACCCCGAATCCCCACCGACTCACCGCACGGTGTGGTCACCGCCCCGTTTGGGGGCCCCCGAATGGCGGCGGCGCGCGCGCGGCCTCAGCCCGGGGCCGCGCCCGGCTGCGAAGTTGCGCTCGCGACCGCGCGAGGTCGATCAGGAGCGGCGCCGGGGCGCCGGGCGCGCTGGCCACCAAAACAATTCGCGCCTCGGGGCTCTGAGGCGAGGCGCAGGGCAGCACGGCCTCGCGGAGCGCGGTGCAGCCATGTTCTTCGCGCCATTCCGCCAGCGCCGCCGCCCGGACGCCGGCGCTGGCGGAAGTACCAGTGTTGAACGGCAGGTCGAGGTTCAGCCGGGCACCCGTCGCGATGCCGAACTGCGCGTCGGCGAGGCAGCGGCGGCGCGTTCGCGCGGGCGCCTGCAGCCGGCCGTTCGCCCCAGCGCCGCCAGCCGAGCGCAGGGGCGCAGCCGCCCCGGGGCCCTCGCCCGCCGCCGAGCCGGCGACCAGGAGGGCAGCCGCAGCAAGTGGGGCCGAAGCCAGGGAGCGCTGCGTTGCCGCCAGGGCCTCGTCGCCCACTTGGGCGGTCGCGTCCTCCAGCGCTGTCTGTAGCGCGGCGGCGGCTGCCGGGAGGCAACGGCGCGCCAGGGGGCCCAGGGCGGTCAGGGCGCTCGCGCCTGCGAGGCCCAGCGCCCAGCGCCCTGGCGTCGGCCTAACGTGAAGTCCGAAGCCGTTTTGTGCCGCAGCAGCACGGCCGCAGTCTGTCTTTTAGGCCGGCGGCCAGCAGCTGGCGGAGCCGCGGGCAGAAGCGGGTGCGGTTCAGTGCCAAGGTCGCCACCTCGGGGCCGCCCTCGGGGGACAGGCTGCCTTCGACCGGGCCGGCCGCGGGGGCAGAGGGCATGTCCGCCGCGGAGGGCCCTCCACGCCGGAGCACCAGCGCCTGAGTCGCCACCTCCCGCCTGCCAAGGAGCGCGGCCACGTCCACCTCCCGCCCCGGGCCGAGCTCGTTCTTCGCCAGGTTGCCGCGCAACCCCGCCGCAACACAAGCCCGCGCAAACGCCTCCTCGGCGGGCTGCGCGGCGGCGGCGGCGCAGATCACGGCCAGGTCGCCCTGGTAGCAATAGCACCGGCTCGGCTCCGCCCCAGCGCGCGCCGCCCTCTCGACTTTGTCGGCCACGCTCTTGTAGCAGAGCTGAACACCTGGTTCTTGAGTGCGTCTCCCTGGTCTCCGCCACACTGCTCGGGCAGGCGGGTTCTCGCGCCGTCCCTGGCCACCTGCGCGCGCGGCGTCTGCGCAGAGGCTAAGGCCGACCCAGGGGAGCATGTCAGTTACCAGATCGTGGACCGCCCTCGCAACGGACTCTCGGCTGAACTCGTCGGCGTCAAAACAAAGCTTGCAACGGCCCGACCGGCTGTCGAGGACCAGCGCAAGCAAGGCAGCCTTGTGCATGCGCTCGGCCTCGCGGGCCCCAACAGAATACTCTGTCACTCCGACCGCTGCCGCCACTCTGCTGCGGTCAACGCGGCTCGCAGCTTTAGAGGCGGCTCTCCTGCGGAAGTTGCCTGACGCCAGGGGCCACACCCTACTCGGCCCCTCCTGGTCACCGGCCAGGGTCCGCGCGGACAGCCGCGGCTCGTGAGCTTCTCCCGCGGCTCTCCCAAGGTGCAGGTGGAGGAACAATTGTGCGCGGCTATCCCACGCTTCGGCGTGCCCAGCCATGCGCGACCAGCGTTCGTCTCGGGCGCCGCCGGGGCCAGCGCCCGTTCCTGGCCCAACTCGCACAGGAAGCGGGTGTCCTCGTCCCCGGGCATGCCCACTGGGAGCGCTGGTCGCGAGCCGGCCTGCGGGAACGAGGCTGGGAGGCAGCGCCTGGCTTTCGCGTCCCGCGCCAAGGGGGTCCGGCCGTCCACCGCCCGCAACGCCTCCCGAACGTCCTCCTGAGTGAGCGCTTCGGCCACGCTCGCCACGTCTGTGGCCAACTGCTGCGCCTCCGCTCTGGCAGGCGCGCCCCGCTGACCTCTCCCCCCGCCCCTCCGCCGCCTCGACGACGACGCGAGAAGCAGCCGGTCCATGAACGGGAATGATTTTAGATGCCGCGCCTCCTCCGGAGCCCCGCCAGCGTCGAGCGCCGAGCCCTTCTTCTGGGAATCCGCGATGCCGTCTTGCACGGCCGACGGCGCCACACGCACCGCGGAAACCAGGTCGTGCAGGGAGCCCCACGAGACCGTGTCCCAGAATTCCACGCGCACGAGCTCCCCGTACTGCACCTGCGCGGCGCCCGCGGCGGCAGCACCGACAACCCCCCCTCCCAGCCCGCTGGCATGTCCCGCTCCTCCGGCTCGAGCTCCAGCTCCTTCCTCTCCGTTTCCTGGTCTTCCTCCTCCGCCCGCCAGTGCGCCAGCCGCGTATGCGGCCTGCGCCTCGGCCTGCTTGTCTGGAGTGACGGCGTGCCACCCCGCCAGCTGCTAAGGATGCGCACATGGCGAAGCTCCTCGAAGTGGGAGCAGGAACGAACCAGCGCGGCCCCGCGGCCGCCGCAGCGCCCGCCACGGCCGGCGCGTCCGCGTCCGCGCTCGCCGCCCGCCGCCGCCACCTGCGCCCCTCGTTCACGTCGCCATTATCCTCCTCCTCCTCCTCCTCCTCCTCCTCCTCCTCCTCCTCCTCCTCCTCCTCCTCCTCCTCCTCCTCCTCCTCCTCCTCCTCCTCCTCCTCCTCCTCCTCCTCCTCCTCCTCCTCCTCCTCTCCTCCTCCTCCTCCTCCTCCCTCCTCCTCCTCCTCCCTCCTCTCCTCCTCCTCCTCCTGCGGCGGCCGCGTGTCTGCCGCGCGCCGGGGGCACATAGATCGGGGGCCGGCGCAACCCCCCAACCCCAGGACAAGCACGCCGCTCAGCGGCGAGCAAGCCCCGGAGCCGAGGGGGCGCGCCGACCGGGGCCTCTACCTCGCATACACGGGAGCACGGCGGCGACGCCCAGCAAGGCGTAGCCGAGTGCGAGCGCCGGTCGCCCGCCCCCGGCGCCGCCCGCAGCTCCGCGCGCGCCAGCCGCCGTCGGGCCCCAGTGGCCCGGCGCCCCGGGCCCCGCGGCCGCGGCCCACCCAGTTCCCCGGCGGGGCAGCAGCGGCAGCAGCGCTGCGCCTGCCAGCGCCCCTCCGAGCCGCACGGGCGGCGCTGCGCTGCGCCGTGCCAGGCCGCCCAGCGCCGGCGCCGCCGGCGCCGCCGCCGCGCCGCAGTTGCCCAGCCGCCTCGGCGCGCGCCCACCGCCCGCGGAGCAGCGCCCGAACCCCAGCTGCAGCAGCGCGCCCGCCAGCCGCTCGGCGCGCGCCCCCAGCGCCAGCCGCTCAGCTCAGCTGGGGCCGCTCCCCCGCGCTCAGCTCGCGCGCGCGCGGCGGGCCGCCGGCTCGGCGCCGCCTGCCCCGCGGCGCGTCACCCCGCGCGCGGCCAGGCAGGCGGAGCGGAAGGCCTCCGCGCTCCCGCGCTGCAGCGTCGCCGCGAGGCTCTGGCGAGCCGCCGCCAGCACGGCGGCGTCGCCGCGCGCCCAAGTGCGGAGGAGCGCCTGCGCCTCCGCCCCAGCGCGCCCCAGCGCCTCCAGCGCGAAGGCCGTGAGGGCCGGGCCCGGGTAGCGCCTGTGTTCGTCCTCGTCCTCCTCCTCCTCCTCCTCCTCCTCCTCCTCCTCCTCCTCCTCCTCCTCCTCCCTCCTCATCCTGCTCCTCTTCCTCCTCCTCCTCCTCCTCGTCCTCCTCCTCCTCGTCATCCCGTCCTCCTCCTCCTCCTCCTCCTCCTCCTCCTCCTTTTCCTCCTCCTCCTCCGCCTCCTCCGCTCTCTCTCCTCCTCGGCCTGAGGGTCATCCTGGCGCGGCTCGGCCTGAGGGCCATCCTGACGCGGCCATCCCCCTCCGCAGCGGTGGTCGCCCCTGGGGGGGGTGATCAAACGTGACTCCAGGGGCGGACGCCCCTGGAGCCACGGGCTGTATCTTTGGAATGAAATCGAAGTAGCGACAATAAGAAGCAAGAAATCGCAGACGAAGCGGGAAGATAGAAGAAGGGGGACGGGGAGGAGCAAATATCTACCATAGAGAAGGAAGAAGGAGCAGGGGACGTAGACGCGTAAAAGCAGTGGCAGTGTGACAATGGCAACGACAGTTAGGCTCAGCGTATGGTAGTGGCCACTCTTGCCCAAGCGAAAAGTACCAAAGATGGCGCGGCAACCCAGCCCACCCGCTAGATTCACCCTTTCTTCTCCTCCTCCTCCTCCTCCTC